ATTTTCCAAACAGGGCTTGGTTGTTGGCCTCAATTGAATTTTAACCTCTGGCACCAGCCTCCTTGAATATTATTATTTCTAATGATTTTATATATATATACACACACACACACCTTTCTCTGCCAGTCCAGCCCTTTTTTAGTTGTGTGTCCCAATAACTTCCATTGGTCTCTCTCACATTATCCATACAAAAACACTCTGGGGGACTGTGATTTGGTCTTTGGAGGCCAAGGGTGTCCCCAAGAAGAGACTTAGGAGAGCCCCTGTTACTCTAGGATTAATGTGAAACAAGGTCAGAAGCCAAATGGCTACTATGAAATTGGGTTGGGTATAATTCTGAAATCAAGTTTCTTTGAGTTTAGCAAACTAAAGGTCTCCCCTGTTTTATCTCAGAGTTAAGATGTAACTCTATTGGGTCAGATGTAAGAGATATTTACAATTTCTAACAACAAAGCTGGGCACTGCTTATTGTCCATTCCCAATCTATATGCGCTTGTTTAACCTCTTTGTCAGAGGGAACAAGCAGCCTGGCACAGAAACTCTATACACAATCGGTACCTTTGTCCTTAGTTTAACAATACTCAGATTCCTTTGTTTTGACAACTGATCTAAGAAATGATTTAGATTAGGCTGATACAGAGGCAGAGCACAATGCAGAAAACAACTTCCTTTTATGGCATAAACTGATTTTTAGAAAATGCTCCCCTGTTACATTTTTAACTCATCTTCTTATAATTAGAGAAATGACTCTCCACTGAGATATTTGTACGTTCATTTCAGTCTCAAAGCAGCTTCTGAATACTTCTCTTTCTGAATCATAAAATTTGATTTTCAAAGGAATTATTGAAACATTTTTAAAGCTCAGAATTTATGGGTTTTAGGCATAGTATGCATAATTAGAGACTGGGTTATGTTTACATACATAGCATAATGACAGCTTTATTTCTGTTAATTAATCTTACAGACTTTTCAGGGGTGGCTAATGAATGGCCCTTCAGATGTTGATGAACTGTCACTTCCATTATCTCTCATCATCGGTCATATGGCCAGGGCTGATGGGATGCTCATATTTTTCTCATGTCTCGTCCTTCAAGTGCATCTATAAGTACTTCATTCTAAGCACTGGGAAGTTCCAGAGGTTTGGGAACACTTAAATCTAATTGCAAATATTTTTTTAAACCAGGTTTGCTATGGTTTTCTTAAGCATATGTAGTTAGTTATCTGGAAGGGAACTAAGTAACAACACTGTTCTCCCCTTGTCAGCACTAGTTTTATGTAAGGGGGAGGGTGGTGGACACTCTGTATATGTAGAGATTTGGATTGTAATTTTTATTTCTCTTGATTAACATTGAGTAAAACTTTGAGGGAGTGCTCCTGCAGAAATATTTGCAGCCAGAGTTGGGAACACTAACTGGAATTCAAATAGGAAATGAATGTCTATAAGCTTATGCTTAGTTTATCTTCTGTTTCAATTACTAGAGTGTCCAATTTTGTATAGAATAGATGCAAAATAGGAGACAAATTTAGAACTCTGCCTCTTCCTTCCAGGACTCTCATTGGTCCCAGGGAACATGACCCAGCCCTCTCAGGTGAAGGTTAATCCATCAGAGAAACATTGTGCACAAAGCCAGCCCTATCCTACTTTCCCCACCGTTGTACTTTATGTGTTTGGCTGAACATTTCTATTGGCTGACTATTTGCTGACTGAAAAGTTTCCAAGTTTTTTAGGCCAAAGGTGGCCATTGGAGATTAGAGATTGGCCATTGTCTTGAGATCTGCTTGTTCTATCCTTTGCCAGCAAGAATTTAGCAATGAAAAAAAAAAACCGTTTTCAATTGCAATGATTTAGGTCACGCAGAAATCTTTATCAAATTCATTTGATGCAGTTTAATAGTTATTAGTCATTTACTCCTCATGGAAGGACTGCCTCATTGGTCCTTAGGAAGGAATGGCCAATATAAAAAGAACTATGAAAAAAAAATTCCCAATTTATCACCCAGATTTTTTCAATGAAATTTGCACTGGAAGGTAATTATAAACCTTCTTGTAAGAAAGATTTTACTCATCCCATTTTTTTTCTTATATAAGAGACTAGGGCACACAGACACATCCTATAGAGGAAACTGCATTTGCATTAAATATTGTATGCATGTGCAAATTTGTCTGACTATTGATCAAGCAAAACTTCTTTGAAAAATCATAGATTTCTTTAATGAAGTCCTGATGTCAATATATACATATGTCTAACTGGAGAGCTTCGATAGTGAGGCTTTCATTGGGTTCCTGCTGCCGCACTGTAAATCATTCTATTGTAAAAAAATATGATGCTGGATAACTGCGGCGGTGCAGGGGACCATTAGCACAGAAAAATGCATGTGAATTATAGTTGGCAGCATTGCCATTTCTTTTACCAAGATGTACCTTCCCTGTGGTTAGCTGGTCATTCATCTAGGCCAGAGGTTTTCAACCACTGATTTTAAGAATGGGGCTCAATCTGCAGATTGCTTTGCCTTGGTCTGTAGTTAGAGAACCAGTTCTGGCTATTGAGCTGGAAAACCTATTCTCTTCTTCCTCCAAACACTAGGAGAATCTAACATACTGGAGAGACAGATACTTTGTTCCTTTTTATTCCACCAGATTACCCGCTTGAGCAGGGGGCTGGACTAGAAGACCTCCAAGGTCCCGTCCAGCTCTATTCTATTCTAAGGTTATGTTAGTAGAGCTGTTGGGGTTGCAGAAAGTGAGAAGAAATTCGTTATGCTAACCTACACAACCTCTAGGAGGGAAATATTCAGGTGTCTGCCTCAGAGACCTCTCACTTCCAGCTATATTATTCTAAAGAGCATGTTATAAGCTAAAGAGCAGATTAGTATGAATCCTCTCCACTGACTTCCCTGGGTTTGGGGATGATTAGTTTTTATCTGCTAGAAGCAGAATGGGATCCAACAGTGCTGTCTTCTTGTTGATTCCTATTATTGTTTCTCTCCTTTTTAAATTGTATAATCTGCTGTGTCTTCTTAGAGAATGGCATTAAAAATCTGCACTGGTTTTAAATACATAATTCTTTTAGGGAGAATAATTTTTTTTACAAGACAAGAGCATTAAAATGACTATGACTTACTTTGGGATTTCTGGAAACATTGGGTAAATGTTCTGGCTTCCAGATACCCAAACTGGTGACTGTTTTAGATCTGAACAAAATGGTAAGCCACAATTAGTTGGCTGTAGAACTATATGTGGTAGGGAATAAAATGGCAGCTGACACTCATGAAACAAGCTTTATGAAACAAGCTTTTTAGTCTAGTGTGTCTGGCAAACATAGCCATCATTACTTACACAATCTAGTATTTATTCTGGATTCACACATTATATGAGTTATTAATGTAGTTTACTCAGTTTTCTCTCAGCATGTTGACTGAATACAGAAGTATAGTTTGTAAACTATGATTTGTGGCTTAATATAAAGAATTACAACTGTCATTTATTCAATATATATATTATATACATTATATATACATTATATATATATATATATATAATGGTTGAACAAAACACTAGTGATGCATAAACCAGGTCTGACAGCGGCATTTCATATTGGTACTGCAAAATAAAGGTCTCAGGCCTGTTTTCAAAGGGCCCATTTAAATCAAAATTCTGTGACTTTCCACAATCTGGGCCATCATAACAAGCTGGTAGCAATAAGATCTTTGGATGCTTTGGAAGAAATGAGCACAAAGCCCCACGGAGTCAGGTAGTTGTCCACACAATGCTTTGGTAGCTGGGAAAACCTGCTCCATGTAGATACACAGTCTCCCTTTACCAATGAAGAGAGTATTTGTAGCTCAGGATTCAAATGAAGAATCCTTGGTGCTCTCTGAGCTTGCTTGTTTTCTTGCAGACATTTCATTACCCAAACTAGATAACATCATCAGGGCTAGTAAGGAGGGTTGTTTGCTGTCAGTTTATATTCCGGTGTCTTGCCAGTCTGTGTGGGTGGGGGCGGTTTTAAGAGATTCGTTGGTTGGGCTGTTTACTAATGGCTGTATGGCAGTCTCCCTTTACTTGTCTGGTGCAAACTTAGCATTTAGCACAGGTGTCCCTAACCTGTGGTCCGTGGCCTATTCGCAACCGGACCTCACTCCCACGAGCGTCGCAAGGGCTCGCAGCCCCACCTCTGTGAATAACGGGTGCTCTCCTGCTTCTCCCACAAAAACACCCCTTCTTCCCCCCTTTCCAGGCCCCCAACCTGGAAAAGTTGAGGAACTCTGATCTAACAGGTGAGATTTTCAGAGTTGTTAGAGAAAGGATCCTAAATCTCATGGGCCCATGAGCAAAGGGCCTTTTCCCTACTTGCCTTTAACCGTGGCACCAATAAATGCCCTGGATTTGGCCCTGGTCCGCATTTCATTACCTCCATCTGTTCCCCAACCCACCAGTGGCTTAATCTTCTTAGTGCCACGAATGTTAAAAGTGGACTCCCCAATTCCCACACCTTTCACAGATACCATCAAGATCTGCCAAGCTGCAAATCTTCCGTAGGTAGCCGTGGTCTCTCTCGACAGGTAGGCTGGGAACGGACAGAGGCAAGCAATTGAATCATCAAGAAAGACCATAAATGTCACAGCTGCAGGATGCGGCATTTGACTGGGGGGGAGACTGGAGACTTAAGCGGGGAGCGACCCAAACCAAAGGCTGGGCTCCTCGTGTGGCTGGGGGCGGGGGGGGGGCCGGGGAGGGGGCCCCCCCCCCCCCCCCCCCCCGGCGCCCTTTTCATCAAAAGGCGCGGGGGCCCCTTTAAAAAAAAAAAAATCGCCCAAATACGGCAGCTTCACCGCAGCGACGAAAGCGCTGCCTTTCCTCCGGCTGGAACTGGGGCCGGTCCCTTTAAGAGAGGGTAGCACAGTAGCGGCGAAGGCGAGCCCCGCCGCCTAGCTCCGCTTGCGGTGCTTTTGTAAACCGGCCGCTGGTTGGCAGCTGAAAACAGTCCCGGCTTCGATCTCCGAAGGGCGCGTCCACGCCGCCTGCCCGCCCCCCCCTTCCTTCCCTCCCTCCCTCCCTCTCCAAGCCCACGACTTAAAGAGTTTGCTCGCCGGTGCGAAATCCCGCGGGGGAGGTTTGCGGAGGGCGTGGAACCGCTGACAGGGGATGGCAGGTCGGGAGTCCTTAGCTGGACGACGGAGTGAAGCCAGCCAGCCATAAATAAAACCTTCCACCAGCCGACGCCCCCTCCCCACGCCCACCCCATCCCGGCATCCCGCATGGAAGAGCTTGGTAAGTTAAGGCGAACGGATGTCTTTCTTTGCTGGGCCCTTTTTTATTATTATTATTATTAAATGTGTTCAAAATTCTTCGCGAGCTCGTTTCGGCGTCTCCTTTGCGGGACAGCTGACCAAACACGAACTGCAAGGAGAAGGAAGCCGCTTGAGGTTGCTTACTCTTTCGAACCCCCCCCCCACCCCACCCCCTTGCCGTGTTAACTCTTTGCAGCGAGGGTGAGAAATCCGAGCGAGCCAAAGAGAGCGAAGGGCCGGTGCGGAAAACAAGCGACAAGCTCTCTCACTTGGGAAGGGCGAACGGTTGGGTGCGATTCACTGCAGGCAAGACGATTCAAGGGCGAAGCCCGGGGATTGCTTAGATTGGGAACGTAATTTCGGGCACAAGGACTCAAAAGACAATCGTGCGGCGCCTGCTGAGGTTTATTCTCAGGTACCTTAAGGATTGCAGGCTAAAAATAACTTTTCCCTCGACCGATTGTTTGCCTGGCTTTTAAATGTTGCGTTGCGCTTTGGGCTATAATTGGATGGGGGGGTGACGGGGGGGGAAGGAGAACGGAAACCTTCCTAAATTAAAAGCAGGGGCGCGTTAATAACGTGAAGTTGAGGTTTCTAAATCCGTTTCGTCGCCAGTTATTGGAATCGGCTGATCCGAACTCAGCTGGAGCAACTCTTTGCAGTTCCTACGAGGTACGGCAGGGGGCGTCGCTGCGACGCTGAGGGAAAGATTGGGTGTAAAAAAAAAAAAAACGGGCAACCGGGTAGGACTTGGCGAGTTGAATAATTCAGTTGTGTTGAATTGGTAATAGAGAAGAATGACCGGGCTAAGCTGATAAAACGTGTGAAGAAGCGCTATTTGCTCTGCCGAATTTGAAGGAACTCTTATTTTTTTTTTCTGCACAAGAATTATTCCACAATATTATTGAAAGATATCTAATTATCATTCCATAGATGATAATCTGTCTTTGCATGTTGTTAAAATGTATTGATTTGGAATTCTTCTCAGACTTTAAAAAGGTGTGTGCTTAGTTGCACAGCATATCAAGTTTGGGGAATGCTCCGGACTAGGCTGTGATGGCAGGTCTGTTCAGTAAAAGGACTGTTCCCAGAGGAGAATGCAGAGTTAATCTTTTATTGAAAGCAACTGAAATTGAACTCCAAGAGGGAGCAACATTTACACAGAACTATTCCTTGGATTGAAGATTAAGTAACAGGATGCCCAAGACCAGACCCCATTTTTGGTGGGGTCCTTCGGGATATTAATAAACAGTTGCTTGAAGACTTCAGTGAATGGCAATATCTTGTCAAATTCTTCATCATATAAATGGTGGTCCCTGAGCTTGCTTGTTTTCTTCATCAGTGCCTGATGATGATGTTACCTAGTTAAGGTAATGAAACTTCTGCAAGAAAACAAGCAAGCTCAGAGACCACGAAGGACCCCTCATTTCAATCCTGAGCTACACATATTCTCCTTTATTAGTATCATATAAATGTCCATAATCATATTGCAGGGTTGAGTGGTCCTCTTCAGAAGTGCCAACCTTCATGTTGTTGGGATAGTGATTTTCCTTCCTTTTCTGCCTCTACTGTCTGCAGCTGATTTTCCATTCTGTGGCTACTTAATGTAGCTCCAACCTGTTATGTCTCTTACCTGTTGAATTAGAATAGAATAGAATAGAATTTTTTTTATTGGCCAAGTGTGATTGGACACACAAGGAATTTGTCTTGGTGCATATGCTCTCAGTGTAAATAAAAGAAAAGATACGTTCATCAAGAATCATATTTACTATTTTCTGTATTTTTTTGTACCTTAAAAAAATCAAATCGAATAATCTGATCATTAACTCTGTTATCCTTCCCTACTGGGAATGGGTTGTAGCTTAGGATCAAAACACCTTGCTTTGCTTGTAGAAAGGTGACAGGCTGGTATGCAGGACTTGTAGGCCAACCTGGAAAAAGTCCTGCCTGAGACCAAAGAGTACTGATGCCAATCAGTCTCCATACTGATAATGGACTGAGAGGCTGACTTGGCAACAGCAGAGGTTCCTATATCTGATGGCACAAGTTGGGTAGCTTGAGAGTGACATTTGGAGAATGAATTTACTCCTCTTGATTCCCAGGATTTTTAATTGGCCTGACTATGATGTGTTAGCTCTTCTAAAAGATTTTTTTAAAGGATGAAGCACTGTCTTCTCAGCAGGAGAAGAAATAACATGGCATATCAAGGGCAAGTTTGCGGCTCTGAAGAAATGACCCATTGAGCCTCATCTGGTCTCTTTGTTTAGTATTAAGTCTTGAATCTCTATGGTACAGTTTTTGAGTGGGGTTAATAAGGCTTCCTAATAGGGCAGTTGCACTGGTGGATTCATAAATACAAAGAACATCCTTTCCTGCTGAGCTGTGGTTTTCCTTCCCAGAGCCGAGTGTGAGATATGGCCAAGAACAGAATATAAAAGTTGAGGTTTCTTGCTTTTTTTTTTTCTGATGCTGATATTGGTAACAATCTTTTACTATCCCTGTTTTCTCTTCATTTCAGGTCGAAGACTTATACATATTTTACTGCAAATATAGTTAAGTTTAGTTCTAGTAGAAAAGTACAGTTCAAACTGCAGATGATTTAATATCAAAGCTTGATTGTGTCTGTAGAAATTCAGAATTTGAGATTCCTAAGGCAAATCCAGGACTGGCATTAGCTGAATATGCAAAGTAATGTTTCTAAAGCTCTGTAACCGTAACATCTGAGGTTGGGAGATCACTCACTGACTTACTCTTCTCAGTGCAAACAATAAATCTTGGAAAAGCTACTGAAAACATGTCATGAGATTCGCTCATTCAGGTCTTTGGCATTTAGAATTCATTGAAGATTTTTAAAGTTTGCTGTTACGGGTGTTGCTAAGTGATGCAGCACATCATACCAGAAGGTTATCTTTACACACAGCTGGCAGGTGATGTGTATATTTTCAGACCTACTTACATTTCTTAGGGCTTCGTGAAATCCAGCATTCTGTTTCTGCTGATAGAATCCTCTTTCATAGGAGAACTGGCTTTTTTTCTCTTCCTCTGAGTTTCTTAGTGTGCACTTAGATTCTATTCATAAAGCTTGGAGGGACCCACTGGAGCAGCTTTCTGGGGGATGTTTGAGGATTGCATTGGGGAGTGGGGGAATGAAATGTTCCTTTGTGCCTCTAGATTGCAGCTCATGCAGCCCTGAATTTGGGCCTTTTGTAGGTGCACACACTGGGATTTTTCCTTTCCCTCAACCCAGTCCCCCAATTCCATTTTCAGGGATAGACAATATCGGCAACAGAGTTGAGAGATGCTTAAAGAGGTGTTCTGGAATATGGCCAATTGAGGTCTCGGGGAATAAAGGAAATAAACTGTTATTGTTCCTCCAGTGTGTGGGAATGAAAAATGTGAAGTGGTACCTTGTTTAAGCTAAGACCACCTTGTTGAAAAGTAAGATCTTTGTGCAGCCAAATATTTGGGTTGACCGCTGGAAGACTGGCAATAGAGAATGTTGACAAAGAAGACAAATACTTTTTGTTTTAAGTTTGATATCATTCTTCTCTTTCCTGGAAGATTTGACAAATTATGTTTTCTCTAAAATTCTGGAAATTGGGATTCTTGAACATCTGGGTAGCACAGATTGAGGAAGATGGATTACGCAAAGTATTGCAATTAAAAGAAATTGACTCTCAGGAACATATAGAACATGCCATTTAAAGATGCAGTATCTATACAGTGACACAGCACATTTGAAAGTTAAGAATTTTTGTCTTAATAAGAGCAATCTAGCAATGGATATAATTTCCTATGTGGTAGTGGGTCGCATTTATGGGTTATGTTATGTTATGTTATGTTCCATATTTTATTCATCCAATTTAGGCATCACCCATGTCACAATATAAGTCAATCTGGGTGGTTTGTCAGATAAAGATAATAAAACCATCTAAAAAGAGATAATTAAAATAGACTTGGGCTGTTTATGAGGCCGAGAAGCTTCTTTTAGGGGGTACTTCAACCTGGATTCCTGTGTTGAATTCCAGGTTGGACTTAGTGGCTAATTTTTGCACTTTCCGGGTACAATATGGGCAATTTTTATCTATCTGGGTTTTCTATTCTGTTCTGCAAGGCATGAAGGGCTCTTTCTAAAATGCTTGGTTTTGTCTTGGGGGAAAAAAAGTGTATATTTGCTACATCTGCTTTCTAAGATTTATCCAGCAGCCTTAATCTTTGCACAAAGCATATCTTAAGAATGCAAATGGAAGTTTGCATTGTCTGTTTCTTAAGAATTTCTTATACAACACGGGCCAGTTATGTATGCCACAGTTTATTATGCTATACTGATAAAAATATAAAGATACATGGCCTACTGCTTTTTCTTATCATAGCTGATAAATCGTCTTGGTAATAAATGGTGAAGGATGGGGGTCAGGGGGACTCTTACTGCAATCCACTGAGCATCTTCCTCCTCGAAATATTCCAGACTCTCCAAATGAATGCATCATGTTGGACATTAATCTCTTGGAGAATTCTGAACCAGTCAACGCAAAGTCATTTTGAGATTTTTAAGGCTACTTCCAGAGTAAAGTTTCTCGTGCTCTTAGCACCCCAAGCCATGTAGAAATTGCTGCCTTTGTCTGGTTGCTGTTAACTCATCAACAGGTTGTGTTCCTTTTGACACATCCATCAGCATAAACTGTAGTGTGAATTCATCCATTGGACTAGCATGCAAGTATCACTAAATTATAGGGTATAGTGCTAGAAGGAAGAGTTGCAGTTAGCTTCAGATATGTGTACTGAATTGTATATACACATACACACACTTCATTCTCTCTTGTCCAATATGATTGTTAAGTGGAACTTAACAAAAACTTCCACTTTTTATTAAATGCAGTTCAGTATTAAATCCAGCTGCAAACAGTTGAATCAGTAATAGAAGCAAGGGCTTCTAAATTTCTCTTTATAATTATGTGGATAGGCTTGGGAACCCTTATC